GACTTTCTGCGAGTAAACCGGGGATTTTAGTTGAAAACCAGTCTTACACGGGCAGAGTTTCGACTTGAAAATATACTTTTCTCGGGAACTTTGCGGTGTCGGAAATTGCTTCGGGTGTCGAGTATGATATTGGGGCTTTGGGGGTTTAAAAGTGGGATTAAATTGAGAAAAAGGGTGAAAAAGATCAAGAATTAGCAACCATCTCTGGACAATCTCGCATCCGTTTTATAGGGGGCCGAAGCCTCGGAGTACGCTGGGGGCACAAGGCGTGGCGCCTGCTCGGTTCCCAGGCTCAGACGTGGTTGATATGTGGCTCGTATGTGAAGATCGGTGACGTGGCTGGTCCGAGACCCTGCAAGTGTGAAGTACGCTGGGCATACCCTTTGGATAATCCTTGGATTTTTTTATTTATTTTTATTTTTACTTAAAAACTTCAAGAATTCATATCTTTTGCATACGAGCTCCGTTTTTAACGTTCTTTATATCCAAGAGTAGGTGAGATTATGCTCTACAACTTTTGTTTAGACTCCGTTGGCTAGTTTTGAGTTTATTGTTATTATTATTATATTTTTAACAGGCCGAGACAGGATAAGTTCGTTAACAATTCATGACTTCTTCATCTGACGTCCGTTTTCGTCTGTATTTTTACCGTTGTATTAATATTAACGAGACATTCGATTCTCGTTTAGGTTGCGTCGGCTAAAAATTATTCGGTTTTTATTTTGAGGTTTTAGTTGTCTACTAGTATTCCGAAAGTTAGAAAAATGATAACTTTCTCATACGAAGTCAGATTTGGACGTTCTTTTTATGAAAATTCTCGGTTTAAAGAATACTACGTCTTTCATTTAGATCATATATACTAAAATTAGTTTATCAAAAACTCACTTTTTACGTCATTCGGTGTAGTGCCGGTTCTGTCGCGAAACTTCAAATAGTAATAATTTCTTTGTTATAACTCGTATTTCGATGAGGTTTTCGCCTAAATGATTCTAACATGATTCTCTACAGTTTTTAATAATAAATTTTCACTTATTTCAAATTTTATATTTTTCGTTAAATTTCAATATTAGATTGGAATCTCATAAGACTTCCAATATTTTCCGAGTGATTCTAAACATAGTTTTACTTTATTTCTAGTAAAAGCTATCTATTAGAACTCAATACTCAATATCACATAATATTTAATAATATTCCTATTATTATTACAAAAACACGATGTCAAAACGTGTATGTTACAAATACCTCATCCTTTTGAGAATTTCGTTCCCGAAATTACATCGAGTAAAACAAATGGGGATATTTTGCTTTTATCTCATTCTTATTTTCCCAAGTATAATTTTGGCCTCTGTGGTGTTTCCATTTGACAAGCACCAACTATACTTCCTTATTACGTAGCTCAGTCATTCTTTCATTTACGATTTCTTCAGACTCTTCTATATATTTTAACATATTATCCAATTTCACATCGGGTAACGGACCCGCTTCATCATATATGCTTAATCACTTACCCAAATAACTCACATGAAACACATCATGAATACCTACCAAATCTTCTGGTAATTCCAAGCAGTATGCTTGTTTACCAATCCTCTGGGTGATTTTGAAAGGACCAACAAATCTAGGACTTGGTTTTCCTTTCTTTCCAAATCGCATAATGCCTTTCCAGGAGGATACCTTCCGCATTACAAAATCACCCACCTGGAATTCTATCGGTGGTCTCCTCTTTTCTGCATAGGACTTCTGTCGATCCTGGGCCGCTATCATTCTTTCTCGTACGATTTGAATCTTGCCGGTGGTGTCTAGAATCATTTCAGGGCCACCAAGGATTTTATATCCTATATCACACCAACATAATGGCGTACGAAATTTATGACCATATAATGCTTCATATGGTGGCATCTTCATTGAAGTGTGGTGACTGTTATTATACGAAAATTCTACAAGAGGTAAGTACTTGTTCCAGTTACCACCGAACTCCAAAACACATGCACGCAACATATCTTCTACTATTTGGATTGTTCTCTCTGTCTGACCATCTGTATGGAGATGATAAGTTGTGCTTAGAGCAACTCAAGATCCTAATTCACGTTACATACTCGCCAAAAAGTGAGAAGTGAAGCGAGTATCACGATTGGATTTGATCTTTAACAATTTCATCTACATATACTTGTGCGTATTTCTCCATTGGAGCCGTTTCACACATGGTGAGAAAATGGACGCTTTTAGTCAGGTGGTCGATGATTATCCAAATGCTATTATGTTGTCTAACAGTCTTTGGCATTTTGGTAATAAAATCCATGGACAGTTCTTCCCATTTCCATCCAGGAATACTAAGACTTTCTGGAGTTCCGTAAGGCTTTTGGTGCTCTACTTTGACTTGTAAGCATACTAGACACTCTTGCACATATCTTATAATGTCTCTTTTTAATCCATGCCACCAATATTTATCTCTTACATCATAGTATATTTTACTTGTACCACGATGTATTGAGAGTTTAGACTTATGGGCTTCATCTAAAATCTTCTATCTTAATCCGCCAATCTTTGGAATCCATAGCCGATTCTTAAATACCTTCAGTCCTCGTGTATCATCAAGTAAAACATCAGTATAATGTATCATCCCTTCTTTCTTAAAATTTTCTGGCTTTAAGGTCTCTTCTTGCCATTTCTCTAGTTCATCAAGAATAGTGAACTTCACTGTAGTGTGAGTAATAGTATAACACATACTATTACGATAAACTTTCCTGCTAAGTGCATCGGCAACTACATTGGCTTTTCCAGGATGATACAGGATTTCACAATCATAATATTTTATCAGCTCCATGATTCGTTGTTGTCTCATATTCAAAGTTTGCTGACTGAATATGTACTTGAGACTTTTGTGGTTGGTAAACAATTGACATTTTGTACCAAAAAGATAATGTCTCCAAAGTTTTAGTGCAATTACCATTGCAGTGAGTTCGAGATCATGGGTGGGATAATTATTTTCATACACTTTCAGTTATCTTCAAGCATAGGCTATTACTTTACCACGCTGCATCAACACACAACCGAGCCCTAACCTAGAAGAATCGCTATACACGGAGAAATCACTATCACCTTCTGGAAGTGATAAGATGGGACCGTGAGTCAAAAGAGCTTTTATAGTTGAGAAATCTTTTTCTTGGGCTTCACCCCATTTAAACTTTGCTTCCTTACGTGTAAGATTAGTGAGAGGTACGACTATACAAGAAAATTCTTTTATGAACCTCTGGTAATAACCCGTGAGACCAAAGAAATTGTGAATTTCGGAAGCATTATGAGGCGCTTCCCAATTCTAAATGGCTACAATTTTGGTAGGATCTACGGATACACCATCATCGGAAATCACATGGCCAAGAAATTGAACTTGGCAAAGCCAAAATTCACATTTCGAGAATTTAGCATATAGTTTCTCCTTTCGAATAAGTTCTAATACCGCACGAATATGAATGACGTGATCAGCTTCAGACTTGGAATAGATTAGAATATCATCAATGAATACGATGACAAACTTATCGAGCATTGGATGACATACCCTATTCATCATATCCATGAATATAACAGGAGCATTTGTCAAACCGAACGACATAACAAGGAATTCATAATGCCCATATCGAGTACGAAAGGTAGTCTTCGGTACGTCCTACTCATATACTTTCAAGTGATGATAGCCAAATCTCAAATAAATCTTCGAGAAATAGCTAACACCCTAAAGTTGATCAAATAAATCGTCAATACGAGGTAATGGATACTTGTTTTTGATAGTCACCTTATTTAGCTCACGATAATCAATAAACATTCGCATTGATCCGTCCTTCTTCTTGACAAACAACACTAGAGCACACCAAGGAGAGGTACTCGGTCAAATGAAGCCTTTGTCATGTAATTCCTATAGTTGGATCATCATTTCTTTCATCTCAGCTGGTGCAAGACGATAAGGAGTCTTTGCAATCGGAGTAGCACCAGGCACAAGGTAAATTCAGAATTCTACTTGCCTGTCAGGAGGAAGTCTAAGAAAATCTTAAGGGAAAACATTAGGATATTCATTAACAATGGGAATATCGTCTACCATTTTCTTTTCCTCTTTTGAGATATCGACGGTGTAAGCTAGATAGATAGAACACCCCTTCGCTATGAATTTACGAGATTTTAGGAAAGAGATTGTTTTTAAGTTTCTTTGTTCACTGTAGACATAAATATGATTCTCCCTTTCAATAGGAATACGTACTATGTTTTCATAGCATAAGAGTTTTGCATGGTTGAATAACATCAAAGTTGGGCAAGGAAATAGGAATCAGGTTAGCAAGAAAATTATAGCCTTCAATTTCTAGCACTACTAGAAAAACAACCTTTTACGACGCGCAAACCACGACACTCATTAATTTATGTTATGCAAACGAGAGTGACATAAAAACATGTCATCTCTTCAGAAAATTTAAGGACTTAGGTCACGCATTATTGCGCGCCCTTAAATTAGTGCCCTAAGAAAAAAAATTAAAAACACGGAGGGCGCTGTATCTTAAATGTACGTTCTTTGTAGGTGTCGCTTTACAATTTTAATGAAGGCGCGTTTGTTAGTTACAAGCGGGAAAAGAAAAGCCAAAAAATTAGAAAAGCCCGCTACCCTCTTTGCCCTAAGCGTTTTGATGCATCTTTCATTCTCCTCTCACTGTTGTGCAACTTCTCAATCACAGATCCAAGGTTACAATTTCATCTTCATCTCTCGACTTCATCATATCAATCATGAAAAAATGCTTCTGATTTCCATTCATCTCTGCTGTGATTTCACCTGCTTCTTCTCTGACATTCTTGAGAATACTCGCCAACAGTGTTCTTTCATTATTCCTTCGACCTGCTTCTTTTCGTATTCTTTTCTCTACAATATCTTCAAAGACATTCTCACACGCTTTCTCAAAAAATCTTTTGTTCTCTCACACCACCATATTTGTAGTGTGTTCTGTTCGGATGTATAGGCATCGATGAAAAAAGGAACGGTGATATGGAAGGCCACCCAAGTATTAACTCTTCAAGATTCAGACCGCCAACACCACCGCAAAGACATTCTCACACGCTTTCTCAAAAAATCCAATCCTTGCTACCCCCAACACCCCATCTACATCGGACCACCAACACCACCACAAGCAAAGGTTCAAATTCCCCTTTCTCACAAGATGGAAGATCAAAAGAAATTTTATGGTTAATTTTGTAAACCAAGGGTTTATTTTCATTCCAATTTCCATTGAGCACGTTGGTAATTTCTCCATTTATCTCTTCTATTTCAATTTTTCTCAAATTAGGGCTTGCTATTACCAGTCGTAATCTTCCTGATCATCTTCAACTTCTTGTTTAATAGTCGTCATCAATGGCGGATTACCATATTCGTTGCTATTCGATTCACAATCATCTTTGACCATTTGACTATCCGACCATTTTTGGAGTCTTCAGAATGGCTGCACGTTGTAGTGGAGTCGCAACTTGAAGCACCATTAAGAACCACCAATGATTAAGAATAATACTCGCTCATGGTTTGACACTTTGGCAGATTGAGACGAGCATAAGGACCATACATGACTCAGGCAGCTTCATCATAAGCTAGGGCAACTTCAACTGCTGACCCGAAAGTTCCAAGCCATAATCGACTACCTCTATTGGGTTCTCGAATCTCAGCTACCCATTTACCCCATGTTCCTTGTCTTATACCTCTGAAATTACACCTCAAGTTCTCAGGTCCTCCTTTACCTTTCATGCAAAAATCAATTTTATCTACTAGGTTTATTTTCATTAAACTAAATAAAAAAAGAAAAATTTAATTTTATCAACTGGGTTTATTTTCATTCCAATTTCCATTGAACAAGTCGGTAGTTTCTCCATTTATCTCTTCTACTTCAGTTTTTCTCAAATTAGGGCATGCCAGCTGTATGATGAAATGCCTAAGAGAAAAATTACAACAAAAAGTGCATTTTGATTCACTTTCAAACACTTCAACTAACTGACCATATTACCCTTGTGGTATTTAACTTTTGTATCCTTAGTGAACTGAACTTGGTTCTCTGTAATGTGCAGACATGATTAACAGGTACATGTTGCTGATGCATCTAGCTTTGTTCAGCCAGGAAGCATGATTGACAGGTACATTTACTTGTCTACATAAAAAGGATTTAAAGTCTAATGTTTACTAAGTTTGTTAGATATTGTTTGTTATATTGTAGAGAAGCATTACAAAGAGGAAATCCAACACTATTAATGTTCTTTATACCTTCTTTTCTACTGGGGGCGAATTTTACTTAAACAATTTTAAAGATTGTAGAAGAGAGAACGCTCCTTCTTGTTCAGCCAGGAAGCATGATTGACAAGTATACCTTCTTTATACCTTCTTTTCTACAGGGGGAGAATTCCTAATTCTTACAAGTATCTTAATATCAATTATTTTGTTTGTTGAAAGATTCCATGGAGAGTACCTTGGTGAGCATGTTGCTGTCAATATTCATAGGTCTGAACATTTAAATGATGAAACATTAGGGGAATGAATTCTCTCATAAAGTAGCAGATCCAGGATTTATTTATTTATTTATTTGCATTTAAGCATAATTAATATAAGGGAGGGTAAAGGGTGTACCATGAAGCCTCCTATCTCTGTTTGAGTCTTGTCTCCATTTACATGTTAGGAAGCTGTCAATGGTAGAAAATGAAACATAATTAAATTTTATTTATAATTTTTTTATTGTTTTATGACAGGTGTGAGTGTGAAGAAGAATGTGATCGTGACAATCTCTTCTTGTGCATGGGTTTGCTATGAATCAGATGGTGAAATTGAGGCTCTACTTGAATGGCTGGAAGATGATGATGCAAAAGAGAAACAACTGAAAGAAAACATTAAAAAATGGCAAAGGAACAAATCAACTGATTTAAATGATGATCACATTGTGGGTCAAGTTGCACTTCAGTTTAGGTCATTGGTTCATTCAACAAATGCAAGGGCAGAATTGGAAAAGAAAACTGGAGGTGTGTACTATGTGCTTAAATCTTGATATATCTTGCAAGGGATGTTTTTCTATTGGAATCATAACTTTGATCAGCACATTAATGTTGATTACCTTCTGTATGTATTGCTCCATCCAGAAGAAAGGAAGAGAAATGAAAAGTATTTTGATCACTATGAGAAAAATTGAGATAGAAACCTATACGCCCTAACCTTTTTATGTTGCAGACTCTTGTCTCTGTTTACCAAACTTTGATAAAGAGTTGATCTATGTTGTTTTCAGGCGCATCAAGGATGTGTAAATACTATTGCTTGGAATTCAAAAGGCTCACTATTGATATCAGGATCTGATGATGCTCATGTACATCTTCCTACCTTTTTTCTTCATATGTATTAGCTACCTGTATGATGCCTGAAAACCAAGCAAAATGCAACTAATAATACTTCTTTTTTACATGCAGTTTTTTTAAAACTAGAGATGTTCCATTCTGTTTCAGGTAAATCTTTGGAGTTATGAAAGCCGCAAGCTTTTGCATTCCATTGACAGTGGTCATAGGAATAATATATTTTGCACAGAGTTTGTTCCTAAAACATCTGATGAATTGGTAGCATTTGGAGCAGGTGATACTGACGTAACCCTCCTCCCATTTTGTTCATTGCTTCATTCATTCACATGTCTTCTGAAAATCTTAACTCACACCTGTAGGTTCGAATATTCAATTTGTCTCGCACACATGAAGATACTGCTAGTAATCTATCAGCTCATTTTCAATGCCACAGCAGGATAGTTAAAAAATTAGCTGTAAGATATATATATATTCCCCTAATAAACTTACTAATATCATCTTCTTATCATCATGGATTTTCTGTTTCAGGTAGAACCTGGTAATCCGAATGTTGTCTGGAGTGCCAGCGAGGATGCAACTCTGAGACAGCATGATCTCCGGGAGGTCACTTCTTGTCCCCCTGTTGAGAACTGTAAAGGACTACTGGAATTTACTTCTGTTCGCTGACTTTAGAGTAGAGTTTTTCTAGTAAGTTTTTATTATAATAGTTAAAGTGTTTTAATGTTTTAACAATGGAACTAACTCAGAGTAGAGATTTTCTATAAAGTTGTGGGTTCTAGATCCAATCTAATTATTACAAGGGGTATATATGGGCTATTACTGCAGTCCATAATCTATGGTTAATATAACTAAATATTTTATTTATAATGTTATTTTCAAGCTATTTAAACGGGGCTAGCTTATGTTGGAACTGATTATCTTTCATTTTCTTTGTTGGATAAATACATTGAATATGAGTATCAACTATAGAAATGGTCGAATCTTGCCATGAATTACACACGAAGATTCCTAATCAGCAGTTGGATCAGTATTTCAACAGGTGATGATTGATATATGTTTGTGCAACACAATCTTTCTTTAATTAGTCAAGCCACATCTTTTCATTCTACTTTTTTTTTTTTTTTACTTTTGACAGCTGTAGGTAATTAGCTGCTAGTCGCCCTTTATCAGAACTGAGAACAGCTGAAGAACTTGAAGCTGCAGCAAGGGAAAAAGGGGAATTCAAGAATCAAGAAAGTGAGGGTGAGATCCATCCGAATGATGGATTAACAGAAGCTAAATAGTTGGAGACCTATATTTCCCTTATAGAAGAGCTTTATAAAAAAACTAAGGATTTCGATTCTAAAATCATAGATTATGAAACAGCCATCAGGAGATGTTTCTTATCACTGATAAAGATAAGGAGGTGAAGTTTCTCTTTTGTGATTCCATTAGATGTTTCTTATCATATACTTATTTAAGTTGTAAGTGTTGGATTAGTGTCTAAGTCCATAACTGTTTTGGTATGTACTTGACCCGATTATGAGCATGGTCCTTTTGGGTTGCCTTCACCATAGCAATATGTAGGATGATTTAAGGAGAGAAAGGTTTAAATATGATTTATTAATATATTATGAGAATAATATATTAAAGGAGAAATCATATTGTTTAATTAATATTAGTCAAGAATTAATTAAGAATTAATTTTGTGGCTAAAAGAGATTAATTAAATATAGGGGACTGGACTGCAATTATTGGATAATTGAGTTATTGGGCTAAGGAATGCTAAAGGAATAAGGGGTGAACGAAATTATGATGGAAGCCCATCATATTTTCGTCCATAGCCTTGTCCAGAAGGTTCCATGGACTGCTTAGAGTTTAAGTTGTCCATTAGGGTTTTGACTGAAACCCTAACAGCCCACACTAGTATATAAAGGACCCCTTAGGCCCCAAAAACGTGGACAACACTTCCATTAGGTTTTCCAGCCGTTTTTGGTGCCTCCTTTTCTTCTCCTCTTCATCCAAGTTGCATATGGTGTTTGTGACTCCATTAGAGGTACTACACTTGTGGTACTTGCTTTCAAGAGCTAAGGAAATTCAAGGAACTAGTTGTTATTGCTATATAACAACAAAAGGTATGTATTCTAGCTTTATATATGAATTTCGAAAATTATAGTAGCATGCCAGGTTTCTTTTTGTGTTCATAAAGTTGTATAACTAATAGTGAAAACATAGATCCAATACTAGGGTTGCATGCACACATAGGATTGTTTGTATAAAACCCAACAGTGGTATCAGAGCCATTGGTTTTTGTTTTCAATTAGCTTTTATTCAAATTTGTGAACTTGACATATTAGGGTTTATGGCTAATAAACCCTAAAGGCTAGGTAATTTTCGCAATTAGGGTTGCAAAACCCTAGATGGCGATTTTTGCTAGGGTTTCCCAAATCCTTTCCTTAGCCTCCAAGATTTTGAAATCTAGGGTTATCCAACCCTTGGATTTCGAAATTACCTCCTTCCCCAAGGTTAGATCCTAAATTTTAGGGATTTGGATAATCCCATATCTTGTAATTATCTTTTAATTGTTAAATATGGTAATTAAAGATCTTGAATTATCCCATCCCTTATTTTCGAGATTTAGAGAGGGATTCAAGGGATTAGGATATCTTAGATGTATAATTGGTAATTATCCTCATGATCTAGATAATCCCTTGTGATTTAATAATTTAAATTAATTGTTTAATTTATGGTAATTATTAAATCAAGAGTTTTAATATTTAAAATTTTAATTTAAATGTCTTAAATTCGAAAATTTTAAGTGAGATTAAAACCTAATTGTTTTGAAGAGTTTCAAAACTTGCCCTCAAGTTTTGGAATTTAAATTGTTGATTAAAAGTTAATTTTGAAAGTCTAAATTCCAAAACCCTGATTTTGAAAAGTTCAAATTAAACCCTTATGGTTTTATTAAATTAATTAAGTGTATAATTAAAAGAGATTTAATAAATCCATAATGATTTTGGTTAATTAAAAGTATAATTTAAACCACCTAGTATTTTAAAAGTGTAAAATACACCCTTATACTATATATAACATTAAAAGTTTAATATTATATATGTATAACTAAAAATTCAGTCTTACCGTTAGTAGGCCTCATTCACGAAGCTAGTCTATAAGGGGTGTTTAAGGAAATTGCCTATAAAATGGCGATTGAATGGGTATCCACTCTTACCCACCGCACTCTTGACTAGTGGAGGGTCGTTAGCCGAACGGGTAGGATAGGACAGAAACCTTCCATTATAAGTATAATGAAGTACAAAGTAACTAAATGCTTTTTCAAATTCCCAAATCATAGTTACTTTAGGCAAAATGTGAAATTGTATGCTAACCCATGGAATTACACTTCGTACCCTTGTCAAACGTTAGTGGAGCGTGTGTGGTTAACCGGCACACTAATTTGGGGATGACATTGGTAGCGAAGGGTGACTCGATGTTTGTCATAGATCAATGGAGCGTGTGTGGCTAACCGGCACATTGATTAGGTGATAGTAACATTGGGTGCACCACGTGATTCGTATGGTTATTTACACCTTGTTTGTGATCCTCGGCATCCCAGTCACAAATAGTAGGGCATAATCGAGATTAAACATGCCATTGAAAGTTCAATGAATCTCAAAAGATCTAGGAGTTTCAATTCATTTAAAACTTAAACTTCTTTTTCGTTTTTCATGGTGGAAATTGGTAAATCGTCATTTACCTACCTTCAAATATTCTGCAACTAGATTACGGCATCCCTCTTCTAGGTTGTAGAGTATTGTGTTGGATCCTAGCTTGATGTTTCATTTGGGTGTTGCATCAAGAATTCTAATCAACTTAACTTGAATTTTCTCCCGTTTTGTAGATGTCTGAATCTTACAATGGTCTTCCCAAATCCTTTGGAACAAGCTTTCCAAATGAAGATGACGTTCCGAGATACGATCAAGGAAATGAGAGTCATGCTTCACTTCCTCCACCTCCTCCAATTATTCTCCCTGACCCACAAGTTCAAAGGCTTGAAAAGTTCAAGCTCACTCAAGCCCTTTTGGCAAGTAAACACGAAGATGGGAAACCTGTGTGTGCGCACGTCTTAGAGATGAAGTCATACATTGATAGGTTAAACATGTTGGGTGTCGAGATTTCAAGTGAGTTGGCTGTTGACTGGGTTCTTCAGTCACTTCCTGAATCATATAGTGAGTTCGTTAGAGAGTACTATATGATGGACCACGACGTGACCCTAATTGATCTCACCTATTTGCTTATAGCTGCTGAATCAGCAATGATTTGGCGTGCTGGTCAAGCAAATTTGTCTAGTGAATCAAACTCCCAAACTTCAATGGACACTGGCAACATTGGAAGTCCAGAAAGAACTAAGTCTGTGATTGTCCGATGTGTTGTGCCAAAGGAGTCTATTTGCTTTTATTGCCAAGAGAAGGGGCATTGGAGACGAAGCTGCCCTAATTACCTGAGAGATCTAAGAGATGGGAGAGTCAAGACGTATGGCTCTGCTTCAGGTAAAATCCATTAACTAACTCTTTTAAGTTCCTATTCTAGATTCTTAATACATGATGTGATAAGATTACATTTTGATGTTTTGTAGGATCGAAGAAAAGAGAGGAAGCTTGAGAAAAGAAGTGAGCTGAATCTGATCATGAAGAAATGGATTTCGATCGCATTACTTGAAGAATGGATTCTTGAGCTACAACTTGGAGTTAGAATAGATTGTTAACATAGTTTTTCAGTTGAATTGCATTGTAAGGACAATTTTTTCCGCAATAAAATAAATTTTGATTTTGTCTTATTTATTTATCCTTACAATGAAATATATGAAAAATTGATGTTCATGTACTTCTATTATTAGCAAAATGGATTTGATTCTTAATTATGGAAATGTCAAAAGTGTACCAAATAGGGAGACTTTCTCATCGCCCAAGTTTCAATTGGACAGAAACTTGGAATCATGCAATGTGTATTGTATGATGAATGGAAAACTTTCACATTTGGGAAACTTAGACTAATTCTTTGGCAAAGTGTCAGTTGAAGGACTAGGAGATCAAGTACACTAGGTTGTGCGTTGATCAAGTCCACCACAAGAGTGACAAAGATATTCGTCATGATTTACTAAAGCTTAGTAAATATGATTATACTTATAAGATTAAGTATAATTCTGAGTTGATTGAAAAAGTTTCAATGAATAGTAGAACGAATAAAGAAGAATCAAGTAGGCAGAAAGATAAAAGTTTCTCTATTCTAAGAAGAAGGGAGAGTACCTTTTATTGTGTTTTATGATAAGTCTTAATGATTAAGAACCATATCTCAATTGATCCTCTAAGTGAGTCTTAGTGCATTTGCATGTCTAAGAAGAGGTATCAAGTATTGTAGAAATGGATATATCAATAAGTCAATCATACTTCGTTCCAATATCAAGTCTTAGAGTCAAGATTGTGACATTGAGTGAAAAGTCTTAAGTAGGTTTATAACACTCATCAAATGTGGAATTTGGAAAAGTTTTCTTATTCTTGCACATTTGAAATTGGTAAGTTGTGCTGTCTTGGATAAGACAAAGACCAACTAGGACCAATTGTGTGAAGTGTTTTGTCTTGATAAATGCTTCACTAACTCTTGAATATTTGTTTGTCAAGAAATGTTTCTTGACAAGAGAATCTTATATGTCAAGAAGTCAGTGGGAGTCTTAATGGTCTTAAAAGTTTCAAGAACAAATCAAGAATAAACCTTATCGATCATCACTAGCACACGACTTGAGGTTTACAACCTATCGTGCTGACATTGTTTTGTTTCTGTGCCATTCCAATTGAGTTAATTGTGTATATGAGTTCTATGAGTTCTCATTTGAATACACACTAAAGCCTTAGTCGATGGAAAGTAAATTGATATGTAAGGACAAGTTACTAAACTACTTGGAAGGCATGGTGGGCACTCGTGTTACCATAGGGCAAGAAATCAAGATTAAGAAAGTTCAGTCCATATGAGTTTGGATTTGTCGCAAACCTTGGTTTTGGCAAATTCACATGGATAGGAACTCATACACCATAAAATCTAAGTGTCATAAGATTCCCTCCTTCATGAAAATGACTGTGAGGAAATGCTTTCACTAAGAGAGATTTTAAGAAGATAGCAATTGTGAAAATTGTATTCTCAAATTCGATTATGGTTACGGCATCCCTTTCCATAGTTCGAATTGTGAGATTTGGCAATTAGTTTCAACATTTGGAACTTAGTAACATAAGTTATGAATTGTTTAAACACACAT